ATATTAACCCTTTGTCTGATGTGTCATTTGCAACTATCTTTTCCCGTTCCGTCGGTTGCCTATTAGTTTTATGGGTTGTTTCCTTTGCCATGCAGAACCATTTAATCTTGATGAGGTCCCAATCGCTTATTTTTGCTCTTGATTCCCTTGCTTTTGGGGATGTGTCAAGTAAGAAATTGTTGCGGTTGAGGTCAAGGAGGTTGTTTCCTGGTTTCTCCTCTAGGGTTTTGATGGTTTCCTGTCTCACATTCAGGTCCTTTATCCATTTTGAGTTTATTTTTGTGTATGGTGTGGGAAAATGATCTAGTTTTATTCTTCTGGATGTTGCTGTCCACTTCTCCCAGCACCTACTGTTAAAGAGGCTGTCTTCTTTCCATTGGCTACTTGTTCCTGCTTTGTCAAATATTAGTTGGCTGTATACTTTTGGGTCCAATTCTGAGTTCTCAATTCTATTCCATTGGTCTATGTGTCTGTTTTTGTGCCAATACCATACTGTCTTGATGATGACAGCTTTGTAGTAGAAGCCAAAGTATGGGTTGGTGGTACCTCCCGCTTTGGTTTTCTTCTTCAATATTACTTTGAAATTCGGGTTCATCAGTGGTTCCATACAAATTTTAGGAGAGTTTGTTCTAGTTTTGAGAAGAATGCTGGTGCATTTTGATTGGGATTGCCTTGAATGTGTAGATTGCTTTGGGTAGTAATGACATTTTAACTATATTTATTCTTCCAGTCCATGAGCATGGAAAGTTTTTCCAATTTTTGTGTCTTCTTCAGTTTCCTTCATAAGCTTTCTATAGTTTTCATCATGAATATCTCATATCTTTGGTTAGGTTTATTCCTAGGTACTTTATGACTTTTTGTGCAATTGTGAATGGGATCAGTTTCTTGATTTCTCTTTCTGTTGCTTCATTGTTGGTGTATAAAAATGCAACCGATTTCTGTATGTGGATTTTGTACCCTGTGACTTGGCTGATTTCTTGGATCAGTTCTAGTAGGCTTCTGTGAAGTCTGTCGGGTTTTCGATGTAGAGTATCATGTCGTCTGGAAAAGTGAAAGTTTGACTTCTTCTTAACCAATTCTGATGCTTTGATTTCCTTTTGTTGTCTGATGGCTGATGCTAGGACTTCCAGCACTATGTTAAACAGCAGTGGTGAGAGTGGACGTCCTGTCTTGTTCCTGATCTCAGGGGGAAAGCTCTCAGTTTTTCCCCGTTGAGGATGATGTTCGCTGAAGGCTTCTCATAGATGGCTTTTATGATGTTTAAGTAAGTTCGTTCTCTCCCGACTTTCTCGAGGGTGCTTGTTAAGACAGGATACTGTATCTTGTCAAATGCTTTTTCTGCATCTATCGACAGGATCCTATGGTTTTTATCTTTTCTTTTGTTGATGTGATGTATCACATTGAATGATTTGCGAATATTGAACCAGCCCTGTAACCCAAGAATGAATCCCACTTTATCTTGGTGGATAATAATTTTTATGTGCTGATGGACAAGGATATTGGCCTGTAGTTCGCCTTTTTCTGCTGCGTCTCTGTCTGGCTTGGGAATCAGAGTGATGCTGTTTTTGTAAAATAAGTCTGGAAGTTTTCCTTCGGTTTCTATTTTTTGGGATAGCTTGAGAAGAATTGGTATTAATTCTGTTTTAAATGTCTGGTAGAATTCCCCAGGGAAGCCATCAGGTCCAGGGCTCTTATTTTGGGGAGATTTTTGATAACTGATTCGATTTCTTCACAGAACATGGGTCTGTTCAGATTTTCTATCTCTTCCCGTGTGAATTTTGGTAGTAAGTGTGTGTTTGGGAATGTGTCCATTACTTTTTATTTTCTTTTTTTATGTTTTACAAATAGTTTATTGTCAGGTTGGTTTCCATATAACACCCAGTGCTCATCCCCACAAGTGCCCTCCTCCATGCCCATCTCTCCCTTCCCCCCACACCCATCAGTCTTCAGTTTGTTCTCAGCATTCAAGAGTTGTCCATTTCTTCTAAGTTGTCCAATATGTTGGCATATAATTTTTCATAGTATTCCCTGAGAATTGCTTGTATTTCTGAGGGGTTGTTTGGAATAAGTCCATTTTCATTCATAATTTTGTCTATTTGGGTGCTCTCTGTTTTCTTTTTGATAAGTCTGGCTAGAGGTTTTTCAATTTTGTTTACTTTTTCAAAAAAACAACTCTTGGTTTCATTGATCTGTTCAATTGTTTCTTTGGTCTATGTTGTTTATTTCTGCTCTGATTTTTACTGTTTCTCTTCTTCTACTGGGTTTGGGTTGCTCTTGTTGCTTTGCATCTAGTTCCTTTAGGTGAGCTGTTAGATTTTGGACTTGCGCTTTTTCTAATCTCTTGAAATAGGCCTGGAGAGGGGCGACTGGGTGGCTTAGTCGGTTAAGCGTCCGACTTTCGCTTAGGTCATGATCTCGCGGTTCGTGGGTTCGGGCCCCGCGTCGGGCTCTGTGCTGACTGCCAGCTCAGAGCCTGGAGCCTGTTTCGAGTCTGTCACTCCCTCTCTCTCTGACCCTCCCCTGCTCACACTGTCTCTCTCTCTCCTAGAAATAAATAAAACATTAAAAAAAAAAAAGAAATAGGCCTGGAGAGCAATGTACTTTCCTCTTAGGACTGCCTTTCCCGCATCCCATAAAGTTTGGATTGTTGTATATTCAGTTTCATTTGTTTCCATATTTTTTTAAAATTTCTTCTCTAATTGCTTGATTGGCCCATTTATACTTTAGTAGGGTGTTCTTTAACCGCAATGTTTTTGGAGGTTTTCCAGACTTCTTCCTGTGATTGATTTCAAGTTTCAAAGCATTATGATCTGAAAGTGTGCATGGTATGCTTTATGTCCCAGTATGGGATCTATCTTGGAGAATGTGCAATGCACACTTGAGAAGAAAGTAAATTCCATGGTCTCAGGATATAGAGTTCTAAATATATCTGTCAGATCCATCTGATCCAATGTATCATTCAAGTTCTTTGTTTCCTTAGTGATTTTCTGTCTAGTTGATCTATCCATTGCTGTAATCGGTGTATTAAAGTCCCCTACTATTAGCACATTCTTATCTATAAGGTTGTTTCTGTTTGTGATTAATTGTTTTAAATATTTAGGTGCCTCCATATTCAGTGCGTAGACATTTATAATTGTTAGCTCTTCCTGATGGACAGACCCTGTAGTTATTATATAATGCCCATCTTCATCCCTTGTTACTGATTTTAATTTAAAGTCCAGTTTGTCTGCTGTAAGTATAGCTACTCCAGCTTTCTTTTCACTTCACATAGCATGATAGATATTTCTCCATCCCCTTACTTTTTTTTAATCTGTAGGTATCTTCCAGTCTAAAATGAGTTTCTTGTAGACAGCACATAGATGGATTTTGGTTTTTTATCGATTCTGCTATCCTGTCTTTTGATTGGAGCATTCAGCCCATTTACATTCAGTGTTATTATTGAAATATGTGGGTTTAGAGTCATTATGTCCTTTGTGGGATTCATACTTGTGGAGGTGTCTCTCGTATCTTGTGTTCCTTGCAACGCTTCCCTCATAGAGTCCCCCTCAGGATTTCTTGTAGGGCTGGTTTAGTGGTGAAAATTTCTTTCCATTTTTGTTTATTTGGAAAGACTTTTATCTCTCCTTCTATTCTGAATGACATGCTTGCTGGAGAGAGGATTTTTGGCTGCATATTTTTTTCTGTTCATCACATTGAAGCTCTCCTGCCATTCTTTTCTGGCCTGCCAAGTTTCTTTAGATAGGTCTGTCACCACTCTGATAGGTTTCCCTTTGTACGTTAGAGCCCTTTTCTCCCTAGCTGTTTTCCAAATTATCTCTTTGTCCTTATATTTTGCCAGTTTCACTATGATATGTCATGCTGAAGATTGATTCAAGTTACGTCTGAAGGGAGATTCTGTGCCTCTTGAATTTCAACTTCTACTTCCCTCTCTAGGTTGGGTAGGTTCTCTGCTATCATTTGTTCCCAGACTCCTTCAGCACCTTTCCCTCTCTTCCTTTTCTGGAATTCCTATGATATGGATATTGTTCCATTTGATTGTATCGCTGAGTTCTTGAACTCTCCTTTCATGTTCCAGGATCAGTTTATCTCTCTTTTTTTCAGTTTCTTCTTTTTCTATAATAGTGTCTTCTAAATCACTTATTCTCCTTTCTGCCTCTTCAATCCATGCATTGTACGCGTCCAGTTTATTATGTCTCATTTATCGCATTTTTTAAATTCACCATAACTATTTTTAAGCTCCATATTGTTTGTAGCCATAGTTTCTCTTATGTCCTCCATGCTTTTTTCAAGCCCGGAGATTAATTTTATGATTATTTTTCTAAATTCTTGTTCAGTTATGTTGCTTATATCTGTTTTGAGCAGTTCTCTAGCTGTCATTTCCTCCTGGAGCTTCTTTGGAGGAGAGTCCTTCCAGTTATTTGGTTAGCTTTCTTTATCTTGTTACTTTAAAAGCTTGTTGTACACTCATCCCCTGCGAGTTCTGCTGTATCAGAGAGGGCTCTTTTGACTGTTCAGGGCCTGTCTGTTCAGGAAGTGTCCTTTGGATGGTGTGTCTTGGTTTCTCTTGTTGTGCGTTTGGTTATTTTGTTTCCCTATTGGTAGTGGTATTTGGGACTCTCCACCATGTGTAGTTTGACTTGTTTCTTGAGGCAGCCCTGGAAAAAGAAAACAGAAAACTGCAGAGGAAACACAGTTACAGAAATGCACAGTCAAAACCAATAAACAAGCAAACCCAGGCTCAGTAAAAACAGCTACAACAACAACAACAAAACATCTCTCTGGAGGGGATGGGAGTGGTTTGGTTTAGGCAGATCTTGTCTCCACTGTGTTTGCTGGCCTCCCTGAAGCCCCGCCTTGGTGATTGTCAGGAGAAGAATCGCCTTGCCCCATTCCCTTTTCAACCAAGCGTTGCAAATCATGTCTTCAGGCCAATCTCCCTGTGCTGAGATTGTAGCCAAGGTGGGCTTAGTTCTATGCCTCACCCTTTGCCTCATTTCCAGGTCCCAGTCCACTTTGTTATACTGCCCTGCACAGTCCCGCAGGTGGCTGCTTCCCTGTTGCCCGGAGTTGAGTGGGGGTTGGGGAAGTGTCGCAGGCTCAGATCTGAAGGCGTCAAGCAGCGATACAACCCGAGTGCAGTCAGGGAACGTAGTAACTTTAGGTCCGCAGAGTCCGTGTCGCCGCAGCGCGCCACCGCTGCTTAAGCTGGCCAGCACCGCTTCACTAGGCCGCCACCGCTATGGTTGGTTCCGGCAGTTCAGTTTTTCCTGGCACCTTCTGGAACCAGGGCACCTAGTTTAAAGTCAGCACCCCAGCCAGAGCTAAAAAAACAGTCTTTCCAAGCCGAGGGTTTTTTCCTCTTCTCCAGGGATGGTTCTATGAGCAATCTCAGCTTTTCTTTCCTTTCCCCTGGACTCATGGCGGCTCTCCACCACTCGCTGGTTAATCACTCACTGCAGTTGCACGCAAGCCGGATTCCCTGCCCTCCCTCCGTATCTCTGGGTCCCGTGCCGCTTTAATCTTCCCCAGTTCGCACTCATGCACTTATGAGGTTTCCTTCCCTGTGTACTCTGTCTCTTTCTCTCCCCAAACTTCTGTGGCTCAGTGTCCTACGACTTCCGGCCTTCTCTATTTGAGAGATGGGTGCAGGCAAAATGTATGGAACTCCCTACTTCTCAGCCATCTTGTCTCCTCCGGTCTTCCAGACATTTAAAACATAATTAATACCAATTCTTCTCGAGCTATTCCAAAAAGTAGAAATCAGGGGCACCTGGGTGGCTTAGTCAGTTGAGCGTCCGACTTTCGCTTAGGTCATGATCTCGCGGTTCGTGGGTTCGAGCCCCGCGTCGGGCTCTGTGCTGACTGCCAGCTCAGAGCCTGGAGCCTATTTCAGAGTCTGTGTCTCCTTCTCTCTCTGACCCTCCCCTGCTCACGCTGTC